CCCCCATTGACTGGCTGTCTTGGAAGTGGTGGCCCATGTTCACCAGATGCTGGTGCTGCTGGTGGTGATGCTGGCTGCTGTTGTTGTTGTGGTGGTGACTGCTGCTGCCGCCGCTGTACCGCCGACCTTCCAGCTGGTGGTGATGGCCGTTGCTGTTGTTGTTGTTGTTCCCCTGTTTCTGGGAGTAGCTGTTGTGGTAGCCCAGCTCCTCCTCGAACATGCGACGCAGCTTGCGCTCCTGCTCCAGCTGCTTCTCCAGCTGAAGGAGCTGCTTGCGAAGGCTCTGCTCGCCGCCGCTGCCGTTGTCATGGCCGCCGTTTCCGTTTCTTCCGCCTCCATTCTGCCTGCCGCGAGAGCGCGAGGACTTCTCCGCCATGTCCTGCTCGGAGGAGCTCTCCGTGGAGGAGCCGCCCTCGCCGTCGGCGCCCAGAGGACTGAGGTCGTCGATCTGGTGGCCGCCGCCGCGGTTGCTGTCGTCGAACTTGCGGCGCTTGCAGCTGGGACAGTCGGGCGGCTCGCTGGCGAAGCGCTTGATCCACTCCGGCGTGTTGGTGTTGACGGCGGTCATGGCGGTGCCGCCCAGCGCCCGCTTCAGCTCCGAGTTCTGCGACAGCAGCTTGGTGATCTCCTGCTCCAGCTGGTAGATGTAGTTGGAGGTGTGCTGGAGGATGGCCGCCTTGCTCAGCTTCTCGCCGTCGTGCTTGTGCGGGAGGAGGGCGCGCAGCGAGTGAAAGCCCGAGTTGATGTTCTGCATGCGGCGCCGCTCGTTCATGTTGGCAATCTCCCGCTTCGCTCGCTTGTCCTCCACCCCCTTCACTGACATGTCGAGGGCGTTGTAGTCGTGTGATTCGGACATTCTCTCTTGACTTGGGCTGCGCCTCAGGCTCGGCGGTGCATTTGACGCAAAGTGATTATACCACACACACACACACACTGTTTTCCACACACGGCGGTAACACACACACTCTCTTCGGAAAAGTAGCGTGCTCCAGCTGACTGGAACAGGTTGTGCCGATGTAGTTGCGCCTGGTGGGAGGACCGGGCAAATGTGGGCACTGGTGGACGCCCTCTTCGTTTACGGCTTCAGTAGTTCGCGGTGTAGCTTGACCTTTCTGTTGAAGAGCTTTTTTCGAAAGACGATTTGGGTCCGAGAAAACGGCGGTCAACGTTGCGCTTTTGTGGGCGGCAGTTCTGCAGAGCAAAAACGTTTTTCGAGTGTCGTTCTTGTTTTGCTGAATTGCCCCAGTAGGGGCACTGCCGCCCTCGTGTGTTCTTTTTTGCTCGTCATTATCTTGGGCCTAGAACTTTTTCCCAAGAAAAAGACTTCGATATAAAGATTAATCTAAAGTTCTGGTATCTAAACTGGTAAAAACTAACTAGATCCGAATCTGAAAAAACCCTCCTGGTCCCCAGATGGTGCTCGGCTTTCTACTGGATGCACGAGAATGTGGGCTGTGCCAGCTCAGCTGTGGCCCTCATCGCCTTTCTGCCTTCGCCTGAACAGCTAGACCACGCCCACTTGAGTCGACGGCAGGCTGCTGCCTCTGCGCGGAGTGTTCTCTTCGGATCCTCTCGGCTTCTATTACTCTCTCAGCTGTTCTCGCTGCTGCGAACGCATGCTGGTAGAGATGCTTTGCCCGCCTTGCGCACTCCACCGCCGTCGCTCAGGTGACTGCGCCAGAGCGCCCGCTGCAAGCTCGCACACATGCACACACACACTCTCCGCCCAAGGCAGCAGCAGCAGCAGCAGCAGCTGATGGTGGCGGTGTTGCTGATGGTTCGATGTTGGATGCAGGACACCGAAAAGTCTGATGAACATTCGGCGAGTCCAAGGTACAAGCCCATTTTAGGTGCCAGCTGCAGCAGTATCTTCAAGTGAGGAGGAAACCAGTGCCGAAACGCGCATCAAAGACTCTTTCCCTCACTCACACACTGTGTGCTTGTGTTACGTCATACTTGAATATGCAAAGCGATCGCCACTGTGTGTTTTCTATTTTTCTGTTTTTGTTGTTTCGAAAATCTGCTGATTAGCAACTTCTCCACATCAGTGCGTAAAGTGAATCTCGTCTTTGCTTTCTCCTTGACCTCGTCAGGTCACTCCTCAGGTTTACGCAGTCTGACGCAGTCTCTTCCTCACTGATCACAGGTAGAGACGCGTCAGCTGCTGCTTCATTCACCCTCACCTGCCTTGCTTGCTGCTGCTGCTTAGAAGTGAGCCTCATCACAACAACAACACATTGGCCGGAGAATGCACCCGCCAGGAAAGATGGCGAAGATGACCTACGCCGATGACCTGGCCACCTCCGCGGTGGCCAAGATCTTCCAGGACATTGGCTGGCACACTGCCCACCGGACCGCCCTCACGACGATGACCGACATGCTGCGGGACTACATTCGCAAGATGTCAACAGTGGCCGTCGACTTTGCCAATCACAACGGCCGCAGCGAGCCCACCACCGAGGACCTAGCGATGACCTTAAAGTACATGAACGTCGATGTCAGCCAGCTGCAGGACTACGTCCTCAATGTGGACAGTTCGCCTCTTCCCCATAAAGTGCCCTTCTTTCCAGTGCCTTGTAAGGCGAACCGTGCCATTGACAACTGTGCGCCTAGTGACGAGGAGCGACCTGAATGGTTCGTAGATAACAGAGGCGATTTAGTTTACTTTTTGCTCATCTACTTTTTGTTTTTTCACCAGCTACGAGGAGTGGATGCCTTCATTGGTGCACAAAAGATCCCCATCGCTTCCCGAATTGAATTATCAATCAGCAGAACAAAGTCAAGATGTATTGGAAAAACAAAATGCAACATCAAATACTAGTGAAAGCAAAGCACCTGTTTTTGAGAACAAAAGTCAAAAGAACAAGCTCGTTCTTAGATTCAGTATGAGCAAGTCAGTTGATGACCTTACCGATGAGAATCGTGTACATGCTGACGATGAAGAAGCCAATGAAGCTAATTTGTCAGAAAGCGCTCTCATTGCTAAGCGTCTTAAGAAGTCTCGTGCCTTTCAAAACTTTCTCAACAGTTCACTTTATAAGAATCCTACTGATCCGGAAGCTAAAAGTGCTCTTCGTGTTGCGGACACGCAGAGGTTGCCCAACGCATATCAAAGTCGCGAAAACTCACCTCAACCAGGTACCTAATTTACTAATTTTTGCTTGGTATTCTGATTATCTAATGCCATTTTTTACTTAGAACAAGCAAGTATGCAAAATAATGACACTTCAAATGATGCTCTCAATCACTCCTCTAAGAGCGAGGCAAGGAAAGCAAAGAGATCGAAAAAGAAGAAAAACAGTGTTTCAGATAGTGATAATCTGACTTTTGGATTTTTCGATGATGATCTCAACGGCAGCAACAGGGTGAATGATTTCGAGTTGAAGAAAGAGCGCAAAAGTAAAAACAGCGACTCAACAGAGGAGAGACCAAAGAAAAAGCTCATGCCATTCAGCCTCAAAGTGCCTGGTATCGTAATTGCCGATGATAATGCTAACATGTTAGATTTCAACGAACCAGGGCCATTTGACTTTAGCAATAAAGACAACTTGCCCAAGACAAAGAAGCAGAACAAACCAAAGAAGGAAAAGCCACCAAAGGTTCTTTCGGAAAGGAAAAGAGGACGACCGAAAAAGATCCAGTCTATTTCTTCCACAAACCCGATGGAACTTGTCTTTAAAGACGGAGAGCTACCACTATCATCATCATTGAAAACGGAAACATTTCCAAGCGTTTTCGGAGAAGAAGAGGCAGCCAAACTGCTGTTTAATTTGTCTGAATCTAATATTACCGGAGACCAGACAAGCCGTAAACGCAAATTTGNCAACTTGCCCAAGACAAAGAAGCAGAACAAACCAAAGAAGGAAAAACCACCAAAGGTTCTTTCGGAAAGGAAAAGAGGACGACCGAAAAAGATCCAGTCTATTTCTTCCACAAACCCGATGGAACTTGTCTTTAAAGACGGAGAGCTACCACTATCATCATCATTGAAAACGGAAACATTTCCAAGCGTTTTCGGAGAAGAAGAGGCAGCCAAACTGCTGTTTAATTTGTCTGAATCTAATATTACCGGAGACCAGACAAGCCGTAAACGCAAATTTGACAGTGTTGAAAATGCCGGTGCAGATGACTCAATGACTGACGCCAATGCCAGCAGCAGCAGCAAGTTGACGACACCTAAGAAGTTGAGCCGCCCTTTGAAGCAGCCCAAGGCGAGTAGCAACAGCACTAAAAAGTTCGTCAAGTCGGCGGAGTTTATTGAGAGCTCGGGCGAGTCGTCGGACGACGACGATGCGAACATCGACTCAAATCCGGTCTCCTTGCTGCCGCCACTACCTGAGCCATCAATGAACTTCAGGGATGGCAGTGATTCGCCATCTACTCGAAGGCGTCGAGATTCTGTTTCTCCCATGTCTTCCAATTCTTCTCTCGCATCACCCTTTTCTGACTTTTCTAAACAGGCTTCTTCATCAATGGAGCATTCAGAAAGCTCGGCTCGCCATAAGAAAGCAGAAAAGCACTCTTCTAAAGTCTCTACCTTAGAACATCTTGACCAGCTTCATGACAGCGGTAAGCTTCACAAAGAGGCAAAGCATAAGGCGAAGAAGCTCAAAGACAAAGACAGTGATAAGCATCGGGAAGAGAAGGCCCACAAGAAGCACAAAAAGGATAAGGAGAAGAGCAAGAAGAGCAAGGAGTC